CCGCTAACTTAGCATTTCCCTCATTATCATAGTGTTTTTGTATTTGCAAAGGGCAAGAGGGCTGGGGATGAGATGCTGTTCTTATGCCGAGGTCCAGGGGGTCTTTTCCTGGGACTCCCTCAGGGCCAGGTCTCAGCCACATGAAACCTGGGCTGACTAAGCCCTGAATATTTTGATCTGTAACACTTTCCTGCAGAGCAAGGCCCATTTTTAATGCCTGTCTTTTTCATTTTTGTGTATATGTGCATGGGAGGAGGTAATTAGGCCGATTTATTCATTTATTTTTAGAGGAGGGGCTGGGGATCACCCTCAGGACCACATGCATGCTAAGCATGCGCTCTTGCACTTGAGCTCTATCCTTCCCCTAATGCCTATCTTTTTTGTTGTAACTAATAACTATTGTGAGGATGCGATCATGTTAAAAACAGTACACAATTTTAATTTTAAAATTAAAAACTTGAATTCAAAAAATGTTTTTCAGTATTGCTAGCCCCAGGGTACATATGCTTCCAAAAAGAGTTGGCTGAATGGACAAAACCCAGAAGCCATAAAGAAGATAAAAGGGACATATTTGACTGGCTTGAAAAAAAATTCTATAGGGAGAAAATCACTTGAAGCAAAGTTAAGATACTGATGACAGGAGAGGGAAATATTTTTCATTCACATCAGAGTTAAGGGCTAACTTCCTTCACATATAACGAACTCACATAAACCAGTAAGAATAAGACCCACAACTCAATGGAACACACCAAGGATATGAACAGACACCTTTTAGAAGAGACAATACAAATGACTTTTTAACATATGAAAATACATCAAGCTTTCTTGTAAGAGAAATGTGAATTAAAAGTGCTGAAATTCCATTTCTTCTGTCAGGTTGGCAAAAATCTCTAAGTTTGGTAACATGTAGTGATGGCTGATGTTTAGGAAGTAAGCATGCTCATAATTTGCTGGTGTGAATGTAAATTGTTGCAGCCTCCATGGAGAAGAGCTTAGCAGGACAGATGACCAAACTATATAGTAGACTTGACCCTGTGATTCCTCTTCTAGGATTTTATTCTCTGTATATCTCAGTACAGTTGAAATGATGTGTTTGTCCTAGCTAATTCACTGCAGCATCACGTGAAATAGCAGAAGACTGGAAATGACCTAGAAATCCATCATTAAAGACTTGATTAAATAATATATGGGGCATCTGCACCATGGAATACTATACAGGTGTAAAAAAGAACAAAGAAATTCTGTATATACTTATGTGAAAAGCTCTATAAGGCTTACTGGCATGTGGAAGTATCCTATGTCTGTAGTAGAGTATCATTCATGTGACAATGGGGAGGAAAACTGTGTGTGTTTCTGTGGACATGTATTTCTTTGGAAGGATGCCTAAGATATGGATAACACTGGTTTGCCCGTGGGAGGTAAACAGAACGAACTGGGAGGCAGGAGGGGGAGGAATACTTGTTTAAATTTTAAAATTCAAATAAAATTTAATTTGTATTATGACTTGATGATATTTATATCATGGAAGCGTTACGAGTGTCAGTAAAGTGAACACCTGTGATCCGGATTTAGAAATAGCACATTATCCCTGTTTAGACGCCCTCCATGTGCCTCTCCCTGGTCCCATCTTCCTTCTTCCTCACTCTTCCTCCTTCCTCACTCTTCCTCCTTCCTCACTTTT